GATTTTTTAAAATAATTACATGTTTCATAAGTTCAACAAAAGAAAATTTTATCAATGGCATATTAATCTGCAAAGGATTTTCAGTTCATTGCAAAAAGACATCAAAAGAGAGTAGTATTATATTCATGGAATGCAATAGGTTATCTGAATAAAACAGAGATGTCTGAAATATACTTAGAGGTACTAAACAAATCTAAGTGGCCCTCAAGGAAAATTGTTTATATATAAAGTGAATCCTGTTCATAGAAAATAAAATGAAAATGTCATTTCAATAGCACAATAGATCACAATCTATATAGCTCCCAGCTCACAATTTAGCTTAGATATTGTGAATGAACCCTGTGTGTGCAAACGAATTGTTATCCTTAGTAATATAAACTGACTTTGATACTTTAAAGATACCATTTAAAAATTGGAGAAAAATAGATTAAGCATAAAAAAAGTTAACAGAGATTAAAAAGATGATGCTATGAAAAGAAGAGATGTCACAGTTAAATCTTAACTCTGCCGAGGTAAAAGAAAAGTGCATATTACAATTCATGTATAAGTTTCATTTTTAAAAAATTAAGAATGACACATCTTTGACTCTCTAGCTTAGAAATGTTATACTAAATATTTCACTTTATAAAAGAAATGAAAGTCAGAAAAATGTTCTTTGGCAATTCCATTTAAAATGAGATTGACTGGTTTTCTTTGAAATGTTTTAACATAAACTTCTTTTTCCTTAAAACTGATTTTTGGCTTTCTCAACCTTATTTTAAACTTACAGATTTCCACCAATCTTCTCAAACTTATTTAATTCTAATAATTTCAATATTCATCATTTAAATTATTTATTAAAGAAAAAAGAACCTTCATTTAGATACAAACTATGTTTTAATTTTCACCTATGAAAATTATTATCTATAAATTTGGACACCAGTGTATATGAAATCAATATTTATATAGTATATTTATAAAACCAAGGCAAAAAATATCATTTTTCCCTGGTAAAAATACAGAAACACATATTTTAGTATCCACAAATAAAAATAAATATTCACAAATATGAGGTTTGTTTTTTGTTTGTTTGTTTGCAGCAATCGTAAGCAAGGTAGCAAGGTTTATTGTAACCTAGTTAATTCATCCTAAATTTGTGAGACTCCAGAATTATAGCTATTTAATACTGCTGTTAACAAAAAGTCTTATGTATACCAGATGTTCACTTCTATAAACAAACGCATAAACAGGACAGCAACTTTGTTTCTTCCCTTTCTGAATACTGAAATCTTTGTAGTTGAAATAACAGGAAGACAAACAAAACCATAGGGAAAATTTACTTTTTAGTTTTGTGATCCTGGAAGATTGCGACAGAAATAAAGAGGACTGACCATTTATCCATATAAGGCAACAGCTTCCATTTCCTACCAAGAATACAATTGGGTGCTCACATTAGCAGTAATTCCAAATCCAGTGCAGCAGCAGCAGTTTTCCTTTGCTCAACTTCCCCACTCCCACCTTTTAAAGCCAAGTGACTGCCTCCTTAAAAAATCCTGCTGAGTGGGTGCATAAAGCAGTCCTATTTGCCAACTGTGGAGGGTTCCCGCAAAGCTTGTGGGTATGTGTAAATTAATTCCGTCATCTTCCCCCCCCCCCCCCATAACTAAAAAGAGAACCAGGAAAACAGACTCTCTTGTGTTTACTGCAGCCTGGCAATGGTAATATATGTGTGACATATTTTTACCCTTGAAATGCAAAAGTACTTAGATATTGGCCAGTACATTATCGAAGTTGACTGATGACTGATGGAAGTTTATAATATACTCTGCCTCATGCAGGCTCTAAGGAAAGCTAGAGCTGAAAATATATGGGAATTTCTTCTGTAACAAGAAAAATCCTCTAGCCCAAGCTGTAAAATGGTCCCAACATGTGGACTCTAAAGTTGCACAGAATTTTTATGATGTGAATGAAGATGGATTGCAAATAAAGAAGAGAATACTGATTCACTTAAGTATTTCCAACGAAATATATCTACATGTGTATTGTACACAATGGTACTTCATAAAGTACATGGAAATGTGTATTATGAAAAATGGCATGGATTTAAAAATATTGCTTTATGTTAATCACAATTTTACTTCAGTTCTACACTGCTTCCTTCTTTTTTAAATGATTTATTTATTTGGAAGGCAGACTGTCAGAAAGAGAGAGAAAGAAGGAGAGAGAATGAAAATATTTTATCTGTTGGTTCACTCCCCAAATATCTGAAACAGCCCCAAGGGGTAGGCCAGGCAGAAGCCTTGAGCCAGTAATTCCATTCAGGACTCCTACTAGGTGGCAGTGGTTCGAGCACCTGGGTGCCATCTGCTGCCTTCCCACCTGCATTAGCAAGAAGCTGGGTTGAAAACAGAGCCACTGAAACTTTAACCAGTACTCAGATATGGGATGCCTGCATCCCAGCCAAAACACTGCCCCTCACCTCATTTCTTTCTCTTCTCCTCCTATGTCTCATGTATCTCTTCTTTCTTCTCCTCTTCCTCCATGATTCTACTCTACTAACACTTTTTAAATCACTAGAGCCACTATTAGCCATGCTTACTAATTCATTAAAGTCTAATCCAAGTGGCCCTCAAGAAAAATTGTTTATATATAAAGTAAATTCTTTTCATAGAAAATAAAACAAAAATGACATCTCACTAGCACAACAGATCACAATTTATAGAGCTCCCAGTTCACAATTTTGCTTAGATATTGTGAATGAATTCTGTGTGTACAAATACATTATTTTCCTTAATAATATAAATTGCTTCTGATACCTTAAAGATACCATTTAAAAATAACTTAAGTCATCAGAAAGACTTAAAATTCAATATGTAAATGGTATAAAGGCAGCATGACTAAGAATATCACTAAGAGTTGAGCATCAAATACCTGTCATGATTCTTTTACTTTTGTGGTTCTTGAAGAAGTTCCTAAGCTTTCTGAACCTCAAATAACTACAAAAACACTCATAGTTGAGACTGTACAATTGTTTTGCATTGAAAAGCTAGACTAATTTTAATTCAGTAACACCTATAATGAAAAAAAAATTCCTAATCAAACCAACCAGATAAAGGATATTTGCAGGGAAAAAAAAGGAAATACTGCTTTTAACACCATCAAATATTTTAGAAATAGTTTAAGTATGACAGTTAATACCTTTTTCTCTACAGTAGGTCTATTTTTAGGAAGGTTTTTAATAAAAAAATTCAGTTTCTTTAAAAGACATGGGTTACTTAGATTTTCTAATGATATTTGTGTCAATTTTTCAAAAACATATTACTTCCATTTGAAAATAAATGACATGAAGTTATTCAAATATTTCTTATTATCATTTTATTATCTATAGGATTTATAGTGATGCTGGCTTTTTCATTAATGAGATTAGTGATTTGTGTTTTCTCTCATCTTCTTTTTAAAAAGTTAATTTGAGAGAGAAATGGAGACAGAGAGACACAGAGACAGTCAGGGAAGAGTTCCATCTGCTGGTTCACCCCTCGAATGCCTTCAACAACCAGTGTGGAAGCCAAGAGCCCATCCAAGTCTCCCATCTGGATGACAAGGACACAGTCACTTGAACCATCACCACTGCTTCCCCGGGTCTGCATTGTCAGGAAGTGGGGCCAGGAGCTGGGGCAGAAATTGAATCCAGGCACTCTGGTATGGTTTGGTGACATCTTAACCAAAGTCTTAACCACTATGCCAAATGCTGACCCTTCTTTTTTCACTTTTTCTTGCTAATCAGTCTCCTATGGAGCTTACAATTTTCATTAATCTTATCAAAAAAGTAACTTTGCCTTATTAACCTGCTACAATAATTCTGTATTTTCTATTGCATTGTTTTCTGTTCCCATATTTATAAAGCATGTTACTTACATGTACAGTTAGATAGAATGTATAATTACAGTTATTGGATATAGCCATCCATAAAAGTCAACTGTGTCTGTTTGTTTAAATCTTCTATATCTAGAATTCTGACTTTATTCTTTTTACAATATTTTTATTTCTGCACTGAGGTAATCTGTCATTATGTACACCTTAGTTTATTTTATAAAAGCTGCTTTAAAGCCTTTGTCTGTGAATTATAGTATCTAAGATTTTTTTCTTTTGATATAACTAGAACCAACTAAAAACTATGCACGTTGTTGCATTAGGTTGGACTCCTTGGAGTCTCTTCCACACATACCCAGTTCAGGAGTCAGCCAAGTATTCAAGAAGAGATTATATGCAAACTCAGGCCTCCTCCCTCCCAGGCTTTATCCTTTTGGGGATTGCCTGATCAGTTTCCAGTCATTCAGGCAGTCCCAAATTCTGTCTTCTTACACCTCACCCCAGTATCACTGATGTTTTCTATGCTCTAGCAACCTCACCTGCATGACTTATGAAAAACTAAATGAATTACCCATTGCAATTCCTTTCTTTCAAGATTCAAATCCCCCCTGGTTTCCATCTGTGTGCCAGCACACTCCAGTGCCTTCAATATTTCTTATATATTTCTCCACAAAATTAATTAATGAATGTATTCTCAGTGAATAAGAAAATACAAGTGTGAAATCGGCCTTCTTAAATTTAGAAACTTCATTTTTTCAATAATACCTTCTTTCCATTACATCCAAAAATCTAGCTCACAAAAGAGTGATTTCTCAAAAAAATTTTCAACAAATTTCATGCATAATAGCATCACAGTTATCGAAAAATTCCTAGCAGTGCCACTGAAAGGCATGCTGGGTAGTGAACTATAGTGCTGTGTGCACTGCTGTCTCCTGGACACCGCAAAGTATAACAGCTGGGACTGCTGACTGATAACTAAGGCAATTGAAGCAAACATATTCTTATCCTTGCCTGAGTCAAATCAGAACACTGAAAAAGATATATTAACAATTTCAGCTTTTGACAATCTATATTTTTTAAACTTAGACACTGATAACAGAGATATCAAGTACATTAATTTATACTTTTCTGCTATTGTATAAAAGATATACCTGAGTTCTGACTTTGGTTCTGGCTTGATAAGTTTTTGCTTTCTTTTCATAAACTGTTTCTAACAAAAAAAAGAGAGAGAAAGAAGAGTTAACATATTAGAAAAAGTTAAGGATTACATCATTGCCTGTAAATTTTTAATTCCAATGAATTTCTGTCATATTGTCAAAGAAAGAAACATTCCATTATAATCTGTATTATAAACCTAAATTTCATATGCATTCATGAATATACTCATAGAAATATGATTGTTGATCTTCTCCACCATTTTAGTCCACAGAAATACGATTCCTGGTAAACATTTCACTGAGCAAATATCCTTACAAATCCATCATAGATGAGAATTTAACTTATTTATTTGTTCTCTGTCTTAAAAATGTTTAATATCTTTCAAAAATATTGTATCTAAGAAAATAAAAATCAATAAGAAAATCAGGCTAAGTAAGAAATATTGGAAAAATAATGCCAGATATTTTCTGAAATTACTTGATATGTGACATAAATTTGGCTTTCAAATTCCTATCTAACAAAGTGTTATACACTGAATTGGCAACCCTACCCCACTCATTAAAACTATAAGTTAAATCTCTGATGCAAATATATTTATAGATGAGTCTTCAGTAAAGTAATTATGATTAAGTGATATGGTAAGGGGAGAGTCACAATCCAATAGGACTGATATCTTTATAAGAGAAGGAACACTAGGGAAAAAAGCTATGTGAGGACACAATGAGAAGATATCCTTTAAGCCAGGGAGAGAGGCCTCAAGAGAATCAAACTTCCTGTCCCCTTGATCTTGGAGTTCTAACTTCCAGAACTATGAGAAAATAAATTTCCATTGTTTGAGCCACCCACATTGTGGTATTTTGTTATACTAGCCCTAGCAGAATAATACACCAAGTAACAAAGAGAACATAGAAGTTCTAACATTCACAATGTCTATAGGAGAATCCAACTTATTTTCAGTGAAAAAATTTTCCCATATGTCCTTCAAAAGATGGGTAAAATGTATTAGCTTCAACAGCACCACTCCCAAGAAACATGCATGACTGTTTAGTTTGTGGTTTTTCTTGGATATTCCTACAATACTGGTCAATGGCAGAAAGAAAAATTCAGGAAAATGATTCTACAGGACCTCAGAACAATTGAGTCATTGCCACCACTCTGATCTTTCGGGATGACCCAAAGGGCAAATTGATACATTAGAAAGCACTGGTAGGTTGTATATACACTTCATAATGTCTTGTGACAATTATTTTACATGAAATATGTTTCAAAAACAGATGGAAGGAATTTGAAGTAATCTTGATACGTAAGTAAAACGTTGGAGACTTAGGGTTGTTGGTTATCATTTCCCTCAACAGCTCAAAGAAGTCAGTAACAGGAAGTCCCTTGGCTATTTAATAATATGGATTGCTCGTGATATCTCAAGTAAAATATGTTTTCATTTTTACATTTTAAGTTTCAAATGTGTTTTTGACAACATCTCTTGCAGAAACTCTCATGAAATCTAAAGGTTCGGCATAAAGATGAAATGTGGAATAAAATTGTGTTTGTACTTCAAAAGTACTCATATTGGCCGGCGCCGTGGCTCACTAGACTAATCCTCCACCTGCGGCACCGGCACACCGGATTCTAGTCCGGGTTGGGGCACCAGATTCTGTCCCGGTTGCTCCTCTTCCAGGCCAGCTCTCTGCTGTGGCCCGGGAGTGCAGTGGAGGATGGCCCAAGTCCTTGGGCCCCTGCACCTGCATGGGAGGCCTGGAAGAAGCTCCTGGCTCCTGGCTTTGGATTTGCACAGCTCCAGCCATTGCAGCCATCTGGGAAGTAAACCAGCAGATAGAAGACCTCTCTCTCTCCCTCTATCTCTCCCTCCCTCTCTCTCTCTCTCTCTCTGCTTTTCCTTCTCTCTGTGTGCAACTCTGACTTTCAAGTAAATAAATAAATCTTAAAAAAATCACAAATCTCTTTCCTATAAAGTGGAGCTTATAGGAGCCCGCTTAGATGCAGTCTAGTTACATATGTAAATTTTATTTCATAGCATCATTTTTTTAATTTTGCAGACTAACCTTTCTTCTATAGTTGTATCAGAACATAGCAATAAGCTTGAAAATTAGACTACAGCATCTCAATACTGGCTACTTTTGGAAATCTCTGATCATGAATTCTCTTTCGAAATAAATAATCATCTTCAAGAATAACAGTTCTTTTTACAATTTATGTGAAAAAATTAAGTGAAAATAGAACATGGAGCTGAGCCTAATTTTAAATCTTGCCCTCAATATGTTCCATAATACATATTCATTATCACAAAAATATTAATGGTATATAAAATTAATTTTTAATCTTTATATGCCCCACCTTTGCATAAAACAATGTTCTTGGCTTAGGACACATTGTCCTTATGTGACATTACTATTTACACTTGCCAACTTAATATTTTTTCAACTGCTTCCTTCTCGGCCAGACTAACTGAACTGACAAATTCTCCATAATGATGGGTCACAGATGTGAGGGATGCTAAGTAAAACAATCTCAGACAAGCATTCTTGAGGACTTCTCTTCAAAGATGATATCTGTGATTTCTCCACTTAGTGTCTTCCAACTTTACTGCCTTCACAACCTCCATTTATGTTTCTCTATATGTAATAGAAGCTAATTATTTTGGTCTACTTTTTACAAAATAAGTATCAGTCCTTTAAGGGGCCTGGTTTTCAAGTCTCCAGTCCATTCTGCTTATGTTTCCACTTCTTCCTCTTGTAAATCTTTCCTCTTTCCACAATTACCACCTGTTTCTTTCAACTCTTTCAAACTTCTATTCTATCTGCAGATTTATGTTGGGAGTTAAACCTGTAAGCCCATATTAAATAATCCTGGCAAATTTTCAAATTTTTGCCAATAACTCAGAGAGGCTTACCTCAAATCACTTTTCAGACACTTTTCTCCCACATGAGTATTTTCTCAAACTCCATAATTTAACTGGTACCAACCTTATATATGATAAATCTAGAAAAGCATCTGCATGATCCCTCAATTCCCCTTTTCTTTCAGTATCTTATCTGGATTCTTTTTTTCCTTCTTACAATCCTCTCACATTCTAATGATTAAGTTACTGCATAGTCTCTGTGTCTCCCTCCTTCACTTTCAAATAAATAGAAATTTAAAAAACAATTCTTGCATTGATTAAGCATAAATCATTTTTTACCCTTTCATTCTGCATCTTTATGTTAGACATATTTCTCTTTTATTTCTATTAGTGTGAAATTCTGGAATATGTTTGCTATAAAAAGGCCACTTAAAATCAGTATATTATACCCCAATTACCCACAAATGCGTTTAAAGGGTATTTTCTAAGTAACAAGAAATATTCATAGTTTCAAACAGACTTGTGAACCTTCTAGGAGAAAATATACACATCATTCTTGGTAAAATGAAAGGTTTGTTTAAAAATAGGTAACTGGGCCGGCGCCGCGGCTCAATAGGCTAATCCTCTGCCTAGCAGCGCCGGCACACCGAGTTCTAGTTCTGGTCGGGGCGCCGGATTCTGTCCCGGTTGCCCCTCTTCCAGGCCAGCTCTCTGCTGTGGTCAGGGAGTGCAGTGGAGGATGGCCCAAGTCCCTGAGCCCTGCACCCCATGGGAGACCAGGATAAGCACCTGGCTCCTGCCATCAGATCAGCATGGTGCGCCAGCTGCGGCGGCCATTGGAGGGTGAACCAACGGCAAAGGAAGACCTTTCTCTCTGTTTCTCTCTCTCACTGTCCACTCTGCCTGTAAAAAAAAAAAAAAATAGGTAACTGTGAAAAAAAAATCATTAATAGCATATACATAGAAAATTATAAATGACACATTAAAACATGTAATGTAAGCTGAAAAGATTTTTCTGCCAGGCTGGACAATAGGAGTTGCCCTGCAGAAGTCGGGCCTGTCACTAGCACCTTCTGTGAAACAGCAGGGTGGCTCATTCCTTATATTCTGCTTCTAGTGTGAAACGCTTTCCACAGAAAAGCATCAACTCCTTGGGCATACACAGAACCAAAAGGCACCAAACATCTCTGCTTCACAGTCAGTATCTTTGCATTATTGAATTTGAGCACTTCCAAGATGCACACAAATCAAAGGAGGATTCTGAAGCCATATAATCACTCCCCAGAAGTAGCGATGGTTACAAGTAGTCCCTAAATTCCCAAAATAATCTTATGGAGCCACAGCAGCCCCCACCTTTGAAGGTACATTAAAGTGCAGTACTTTCACAACCCTTTTTACAGGAACAAGTATTCCAAAGATAATAGTCAGCCTCAAAAAGCCATTCAACTTTCAAATCAGAGCGAGACGACCTTGCAAAATGCAGGCTGTTCATTTACCTCCCACTAGAAAAAATTTTTAGTCTCCATAAAAAGTCAAAACTAAAGGAGTTACTCTTTTATATGTAGGTATTTATTTTTTTAAAGATTTATTTATTTGAAAGGCAGAGTTAAAGAGAGAGAGAGAAAGACAGGTCTTCTATCAGATGGTTCACTTCCCAATTGGCCACAATGGCCACAGCTGTGCTGATCCAAAGCCAGGAGCCAGGAGCTTCTTCCAGGTCTCCTACATGGGTTCAGGGGCCCAAGAACTTGGGCCATCTTCTACTGCTTTCCCAAGCCATAGCAGAGAGCTAGATCAGAAGTGGAGCAGCCGGGTCTCAAACCGGTGCCCATATGGGATGACGACACTTTGGGCCAGGGAGTTAACCCAGTGTGCCACAGCACCCGCCCTTATGTGTAGGTATTTAAATGAGGTTTAGTGTTTAAAAGGCAATGCAAAGGCTGAACAGGAGGGCAATAAATGGGAAGTTTGAATCCTAAAAGAAGTCCCTGTGAAATCTGCTTGTAAAAATACATGAAGAAATTGCTCTGTCCAGGAATATGATTAGAATTAGAAAATAACAACACAATAAAATGATGTTATAAAAAATATTTTTAATGTATGGCTGAGCTGATGGGAATGTAATCGAGTTCCACTCTAGTCAAAAACAACAGAAATGTTGAATTTCCTATTTTATAAATTCTGGAGCTTGTCTT